TAATGATCGGTAACAATTGCAAAGTTTGTCATATAGTGCTTTCACGCAATATCAATATCTGTGTGATAGTACTGTTGTTCAGAATTTAATTGACAAAACATCAATCGATTCTGCAGTGTATTATTTTTGCCCGTAAATTGTTTTCGGCTGCATATAATAGCGATAATGTGGTAACATCAATTGTGTGAAAATCTTTTCCCAAAAATAAAAACTCCATAAATGCAAAATAATGCTTGGTCCTGAAAACTTGCATTTATAGAGAGTTCACTGTAATTACTAGCTTGGTAATTGCATTAAACCCTCTTTTTCAATAAATGCTATACTTCCACCATGCCTCAAAAAATAGATTACTTTACCAGATGCTCAAAAATATGTATGTTATAATGAGAAAACTCGAACAGAATTGTTAACCGGGTTGAAACAACGGAAAGTCAGAGTTAATGAATCTACGAAAGAACAAGTGAAAAATGGCAAATATCATTTCATGTTGTCAAAATTGAGTCTGTCCTGGTCAATTTCAATTGTTATCAGGCTAAGTTGTCCAAGTCGTTTTACGGATCGTATAATAATAATAATCTGGTTGTGAATTTAATCCTCCTATAAATATCTCTCTTATGTACAGTATAACCTTTTTTTGCATCTTATAATCCTTCTCTTGATGGTATACGGGATTTTGCTCTTTTATGCAATTCATACATGTCTTGTTTAGTTGTAATCGTAACTTTCGTAGACCAGGAATTCAGGAATATGGCATACAACGGACATAGAAAGTTCTGTCAGGTGAGTATACAAACCGCCACTACTACTAGTAGTAGTTTGCTTCCTGTCGAATTTTGGAGCAGAAAATTCATCTGATATGCTAACCGCGATGATCTTTCTATTTTAAACCCTGTCCACAAAAACAAATATTCGATTTACGAAATATAAATCTCACCTACCATGTCTGTATCAAAAGGTACAGATTCCACTAAGCTTACCGAGAAAGAAAAGGCATTAGCGGGCTTAGCATACAATGCTAATACTCCAGAACTCATAGCTGATCGTAGGCGAGCTCGTGTTCTGACATATAAATTTAATAACAGTGATCCGAGCCGAGATAATTACATTAGCGAAAGGCAAACGATTATAAGGGAGCTATTCGGTTCAATTGGAAAGGACTTTGACATTGAGCCACCATTTTATTGTGATTATGTATGTCATACTTCTATAGATCTGATGATATTGAAATTGCCGAATGATATTTCTTTATTAACGTCCTTAATATAGGGTTATAATATACACATTGGAGACGACTTTTTTGCCAATTTTGGTCTGACTATCCTTGACTGTAATAAGGTCGAGATTGGAGATAGGGTACTATTTGCACCAAATGTTTCGTTGTATGGACCAACACATTCTGTTAACCCTGCTGACAGAGTAAGCGAGGATTTCGAACTGGCATATCCTATTAAGGTATAGAAAAATTAATTTTTGTGTATTTAACAACACACAACTAACGAAATAATTTGATAGATTGGTAATGATGTGTGGATTGGAGGTGGTGTAATTATCCTTCCAGGAATTACAATTGGGGATGGGGTAAGTACAAACTATCATTTCAATTGATTGTTTGCTGAATGCATGTAGTAATTGATTATTTTATATGCTTTAGGCAACTGTTGGTGCTGGATCTGTTGTCACAAAGAATGTTGAGCCCTATACTGTAGTGGCAGGTAATCCTGCTAAGTTTCTTAGGTATGCAGAGAAGCCAAATCAGATAGATCAAATTAAAAATTAGGTTAATTTCTTAATGTTTACCATGCTGTATGAGCTAGATTATTTATTTAAGAATAGAACTATACACGTATACGCATAGGAATCTATAATTGGAGTTCATTTATTCGATAGCATTTGTATCCATAAGAGAGTTAGTTCTTCCACTACGTCAGTTATCTTCGAGACAAACTACTGCTGATCGAAAAATGAGATTGCATAGATTGTAGATTATTCCAAAAATACCCAATTGATATTTCATAATTTCGAGAAATAGCATGCCGGGCCGAAGATTATCACATGATGCGCCTATGTCGTATTCTCATCATTATGCAAGATACCCACGATAGTGTCAATATTAATTGTTTGTAACACAAGCTTTGACGTGATCGCATATAGTTCTGCATGAAGCAACACTACGATTTAATCTGCCGTGAGAATTTATTTTCATTTATGCTTTCTTTTGTAAATGGAAACTTGCATCTGAGAGAGAAATTAACTAGATTAATAAATGTCTTACTATCTGATCGTTGCAAGCGAAATTTCTGGATATACTTCCTGATCTGAAGATATTCTCATTTACAATGCGTGTTAAATCTGAAAGAAAAAGTTCCCCCAATTTCCCACTAATCGCGTAAATTGAGACAGCAGTTGAATAAAAAAAGTCTCACTCCTAATTAATGCCGCTCTTTATAGTGCTAAATGATATGACGTTATGATTAGTCGTTTTAATATTAAGTAAAGTACATAATATATAAATTATAGATACGTCGAAATAATATGTTTTATGTGCAATCAATTGATTTCTATGTGATAATTATACAGAAAGTTACTCATTGATCGAAGCTTACGGAGATGGTTGCGGAGATCCCTTTACGTTTGATGTCACAAATGGATGATTCCGTAGTTCACTTGCTGACGGTCGTTTTGTGTGGTCGGGGTCGAATGTCTTTCTTAAAAAGTCTTTAGCATCATTTGTAATGTCCTCTGGGATTTCAGGCGCACACGAAGATCCAATCTAACAAAAAGACCCGGAATAAGTCGGGGAAGAAACGACGAAACATATTATTGTCGATAGTTTGATTCATAACGCATACCTTGAACATAGCTTGCACATGATGCAAGGTAGGGAATGGATGTTCACCAGTAAACATCTCAACTATCAAGCACCCAAGTGACCATATATCCGCTTTCGTCGTGTAAGTAGTTTGTTTAACCACTTCCGGTGCCATCCAGTAAACAGAGCCTTGAAGTGATGGACGGTTTACCGTTGTTGCACTCATAATTTCTGTATAGTGAAGTTGCAGAATGGTCAAAGTTATAGCTGTGACCAAAGTATTCGAATAATAGGAGAATGAAGTTTACTCACCCTCCTCCATTTTCTTGGAAATACCAAAGTCCGAAATTTTAGTTACCCCTTTGTTGTCCACTAAATTAGATGTTAAAATTAGTAGCCGAAATCTTTGTAACGGGTTTGTCAAATAGTAATTAGACTTAGCGCGGGCTGTTAATACTATACCAAGAATATTAGCAGCTTTGATGTCCCTGTGAATGATATCGCGCTGATGAAGATAATCCAATCCTTGCAAGATCTGCTTCACAAAGATTCTGGCAAGAGGTTCTTCCAACGGTCCATAATTTCTTATTGTCGTCGAAAGTGATCCACCAGGTACATATTCTAAAAAGATATTGAGACAGTTCTGGTCGTATTGAAATCCTATGAAAGAAAAAAATTTACACTAAGTAAAATTGACATCTGCAAAATCTAGCGGTCGAGTCGGATGGAATAACCAAATTCACAGGAAAATTGCCCATTCACAGCATTCCAAATGCTCGTTGCAATATCAACCATAAACTTTCGTATCCGAGAGTTATTGCATACATCAAACGTAAGACAGAAAAAACTCCTTACCGAGATATTGAACAATATTTTCGTGTTGAAATTCTTTCAGGAAAGAAATTTCCCTTTGTAACGCATCCAACTGGATGTTATGTAATTGGTTAATCAAAAATGCTTTTACTGTCATGCCTGCTAACGTCTACAAACAACAACCATCTTACCATAGATTGCTTTCTGTCCTCCTTATCAGATTGTCCGGTTGGAAGTTCAACTTGTTTGACAGCCATCAGCTCACCAGTAACTGAATTAAGGCCGAGATACACACTACCGAAAGAGCCACTGCCGATGAGCGCTCCTTTCATCCATCTAAACGTAGGTGCGGATGGTTCTGTAAATATGAGGTAATGTCAGTAACTGAGATATTTACATGTGATTTTTTGTGCAGTAAGGCTTTAAGCATAAACGTATTATCTACGTAAAAAGACGACCAACGTGTCCATCTAGATAATTTACTCTTTGCTGTCGGGGTAACTCAGTAACCAGATATTACAGATAAATGGAATAGCTCTCCCTTCGTACCTGCTCCTTCTTCATCAGAATTCCATTCAATATCGTCCTCCATAACCGTAGAACTGTCAGTTTCTGGTTGCTCAACAAACTTGAAATCAGATATCTCAGCTACAGTGCCAATAGTATCTTCGCCATCGGTTGGAACAAAAGTGAAGGATGAGATGGTGGACAGCATGGATGATCTATCATATGCTCTAGAATTTCTGCTAGTAGACCGTCTTGATATTCTGGATGCTCTTATAGTCGAATATCTCGCGCTCTTTTGTAATTCTTCACTGTCGTGTCCAGGGAAGTACTCGGGTAAATTGTTCGAAATGAGTTCTGAAGGTGGTCTCTGTCCAAAGAATTTCTTGAGTTTTACAGCGATACTGGGAATTGGACCCTCGAACTCTTCTGCTTTTACGCCAAAGAAATGTTCTAGTTTCTTTTTCTTCAATTGCTCTTTGTGATCTTCGTGACGTATTGGCATGTGTTTCTTTCGTAGAACCAGACAGTCACGTTCTGGCCTTGCCGAGTCTCTGCATATTTCTTCTATTTCATCATCGGTCAGACTGCGTGCTGTTATGTAAATTCAAAACGTGTCATAATATTAGCGTATGGGAGGGAATATGTCACTAGTCAATAAGATGAATAAAATTGTCTTCGGACCTGCACTAGTATCGCTGACCGTAGTAAATAATGAATATTTTTCCGCTTCATCATTGATATTGAATTTAGTCAATATCTTTGCTAATATAGTCTTTGCATCTGTGACGCCGTTAAGATCTATTGTCTTTGTCTGATTTTCGCTGATAACTTTGATAAACCGCTAAATTATCAAACGAATATAGATTAGATACAGTGCAATTGGACTGGACATAAAAAGACAATTACCTGTTTCATTTCATAGGGTGTCAACTCATTGGATGAGCGCTGATAACCAAGAATAAATAAATAAATATATATAAATCATATCCGTATCGCCGCAAAACCGTAAAGTTAATATCAAATCGTACCTTTGTACTCATAGGCGAGCGTGGAGAAAGTGGTTGACGCGCTGATCCCGGTGGTGAACTAGCAGGTGAACGAGATGATAGGGAAGATGGCCTAATAGGAGTATTCGGCATTTTGTCAAATTCGGGGGGTCGTGGAAAATCTTGATAAAACTGGAGATCACAATATATATAAAGTTTTTAGTGAATGCTATTGTGCAAATACACGATTTACAAGTTATGCTTGCCTTGAATCTGTAATTGAATGAACAGCTTCTCAACAGATTACGAATTGCCGCCAATAATTTGATTCTGTCTCTAATGGATTCTATCTGGAGTTCCTTTAGAAGTTGGTGGTCTAACTCAAGTAGTACGTCACCGGTGATATCGTTTTCTAAGTAAAATAAGTCAAGATGCGTGAAAATATGAGTTTTTGGTAATAAATACACAACTGTGCAATGCGATGAATAAATTATTATTCATGATATAATAACCATCCTTCCCACTTTTCAATTGACAACGGTCTTCTCCATCCCCCGAATTAAATCTTCCACACCTCTTGATCTAGTTATTCTAGCCTATCAATATAACTGTTCTCTTCCTCAATCCAATGCGTCTTCCACGCATAGCCATCAAACAATGCAAAAAACTAACCAGCAAATACAGTTTCATACTCTTTGAAATTATTCTCTTGTAACCAACGCGAGACCTGTTCTCCTTTCCATAATCTCACAGCTTCGAAGGTAATGTGCTTATCGACTGTAGGGGATGGCGGAAGGCTTTCAATTGGAGTCAATGCAATCTGAACCATTGGTTCGTCTTCGTTTCGAAGATTAGCGAGGGAAGAGTTGCGTTCCGGAATTCGATACACTTCGTCGGACACTCCGCATGAAATCAACGCTGCTAAGGTTGTTGTTGGTGGCGTGGTGTAAGATTTCAAGGGGGGGAGAAGAAAGGAAGGGGTAGGAGGAGTGGGAGAGAAGCGAAGGTTTGCTTGGGCAGCTGGAGGGTGAGATGCAAGCGGAAAAGAGTTGAAGGTATATGGATAAACCGGCTGCGTCGTTATAAATTACGATCGTTTGCTAATTTAAACGGTAATTATGCATATGCATAAGCTCGTCGACATTGGTAACAACGAGAATGAATGGATTAGAAATTTGTATCAAAACTGATTCATTCAGGTTAGACGAACTTTTTCGTGCAAGGCCATGTGCGGTTGTCAACTTAATTAAAATCACGTGATATAATGTATTTAAAGTACCAACTATAATAAGCTGTTAAGGATGTGGTACAATCGAATGATGAAACACTGTAATTTAATATCTTTGCTTTTAACCCATAAATGGGAATGTCCATGGACAATGGTGACCCTTTATCTACGTCGAAATTAGTCTGCGGAAGATCCAACCAAATTTGACCAAGTTCAAACGCGCTCCTTACAAAGGGTTGTTTGAATTAAGTTGACAGCAGGCAATTGTTATTCATAGCAGTTGATGTAAAATCGTATATTTCTTCTATTGCTTTCGTTTCTCAATGGGAAGAATAGCTCGTTGCATTTTAAATTTAATTTTAACTGGCCTAAACAATCAGTTACGTCTTAATCGCTACGCAAGAATTTTTTAGATTTTGAAAACAAACACCTGCCTAGGACAAGCGATGTAACAATAACAGTTAGCGTTAACATACTTTTGCGTCTGTGGTGTGGCAATTGTCATTTTCTACATTAGTCTTTATTAAGAGATTCCCACAAAGTTTTTTTCTCAGAAATGAGGTTTCGTTTTAAATATGTATAATACCAACTTATTGGGATTGGAAATTACGACGTTTAATCGAAATGTGCGGGACACTTTGAAGCATGTAGATTCACTTCATAGTAATTTCGTACGCAAGTCTATACCAATTATTGTATTACCGCTGTCAAGAATAGCGAATGAAATAATTTCCTGTTACAATACGCATAATTAATCTGATTAGGTAAACTATTGTAAAATGATTGACCAATCATTAATCGCATTTTAGGCCAAAACAATGTATCCTGCAGTAATTCCGTGATAACTAGATAAAAACAAAAGCCAGGGATAATGAATATTGTAAGTTAAGTAAATGAGATTTTGAGTTGAATGTCAAGCAAGGTTATTAACGAATGGTTTAATTCGTCATCGTTTTATCAACTTATGAGTTTTTTTTTTCAAGAGTAGCGTAGCAATTGTAAACATGGTAATAGACAAACGAGGCTAATAGTTTTAAGGATAAGTTCATGGGGCCAAGTTGCTAAAATTATTATCAGTATA